CAGGCCAAAAGCAAAAGCTCCCTTCTGCCATGGCCTTACATATGGGCTGCCATCAAAAAGTTCCACCCGTATTTGGGGTGGGTCTTCAGGCTTCAAATAGTCTGATCAAGAAAGTGTCTCATATTTCCAGTAACTCCAGATCCACTCAAGTTGACAACCAAGATTAGCCATCACTGCATCATGGGAAGAGGCTTTACTTTTTTTGAAAAATTCAGAGATTTTGTTTGTTTTGTCTGACACTTTCCTGATTGCTAATCTTACATGTGCACACAGCTCACAGGAGTGTTGGGTATCTCTCAATTCCTTGCTGAAATCATTAGTACTGATAGAATAGGAATTTTGGGTTTTGATTTGGGGGTAGATAGGGATTTGGGAGGTTTTCTTTTGGAACTAGAGAACACTTGATTGGTAGCTTAGGTACAAAGGACGCTTCTGATTAGAAAACTGGACTAAGAAGTGAGCAGATGCCTCAAATTTCTGTTGCTTTGAGGTGAGGTGAACAAGTACTTATATTGTAGTAGTAGATAAGAGAAAAACAAAAACAGAGCTTGGGTTTTTACTGTAAGTACCTGGGAATAAGGTGGTACCTACCATTCCCTAAAATGAGACAGACTATCATCTTGATGACTAGTTTCTTTGCATTACTTCTCCTTTTCAAAAATTTCCTTGCTACTTTCTTTCATTTTCTCATAACAATTTTAGTATCAGTTATTTACTTTTGGTATTAATGAAAAGAATTTTGTAACCAAAATAATATCATTTAAAAGCATTGTAAGAGCCAGAAGTGGTGGATGACCACAGGCAGAGTTTTTCAGTTACTCATAGGAACTCATAGCAACGGTGACAGCATGCACAAGTCCCATGCAAGCTGAAACCAGAAAAATCTCAGCACAGACATGAGGAAGTGAGTAAGAAGCTCCTAACTCCTAACTCTACCTAAGGAAATTGTGTCAACAGATGGTTGCTGGGAGGGGCAGAGACAGTCTCTTTCAAGCTTGGGCCTCTTGGTAGGTTAACCAGGTTCCAGTGGGTGGACCCACATTGAAGGACATTTGGGGACACAATTTGGATTCTATAGGCCAAATAACATCAAATTATATTGTATGAAAATCACAAAAATTCAATAAAGAAAAAAATGTTGAAATATAAAAATAAAAGAATTGTTTAGTCACATTAAAAGAAAATGTATTATCTACTTTCAGAATTTGATGTGATATACTCAGAGATATATATTTATCTGATTATAGCTTATTTACATTTTCTATATTCTTGATTTGTCATAATTGAAAAGGGTGAATTGAATTCAGCAGACACAATGCATTTCTATTTGTGTCATCTGTAATTCCTGCTTTATGAATTGCATTTCTTTTGTTATTTATATATTTATCAGTTTTATATTTTCATTTGAATTACTTTTCCCTTCCTTTCTCTTCCCTTTTCTTTTTTCCATAATTTTTGAAACAGGGTTTTGATATGTAGCCCAGGCTAGCCTTAAACTCTTTATGTAGCCTAAGATGGCCTCAATCTGAAAATCATCCTGCCTCTGCCTCTGGAGTGCTGGAATTACAGCTCCGTACTGTCATACCTGCCTTCCCCCTTTGCTTCTCAATGCATACCTCTTCGACCTGCTTAATGTTGATTTTTTCCTTGCATAATCCTATTTGTGTATCATTTTCCTGTTACATATTTGCCTATATTTTGTTTTCAATATTTTTGAATTTTTAATAACTTTAAGATATGTCACATATACACACATACCTATATAGAAAAAGAACATAATTAGCATATATAATTAGTACATATATAATAGCATATAATTAACATAAAATTAAATTTTGCTTTATGAGTCAGTTTGAAAATGTTGCTTTAAATAGGTGACACAAAAACATATTCAATTTTATAATAAAAATATTTCTCAAAACTATCAAATTAGCTTCTATTCTGTTTGTTGTTTTATTTTTCCCTTTTTATCCTTTGTGTATGTTTCTTTAAATATTTAAGATTTTTTTATGTCAATAAGTATAACATAATTTTAATTCTATATTGCGGTATCTATTAATACTATGAAAGAATTGATAAATGATAAA